AACACTTACAGAGGACTAACCCTAAAACATTTCCAATGTAGTGTAAGTAACATTTGTGTTAAAGTCTCTTAGCTTAGAAGCTCTATTTTGAAGATATAATTACGTAAATTCCCCGAAAACAGAAATGGTCAAACAAACAAGTATTATCAAAATTTTAGTAGTAGTCTAAGTCATTCCACTGCATATTTGTACATCGATCAAAAAGTGATAAGATGAAAGTTGCACCGTCAGACAATGAGAAAATAAACGAAAAAAACGAGATAACAGTTAAAAGGAGTAAAAATTAAGTGTACGTTAACAATGTGAACAATCTTCAGTCATTATATGCCAAAGTGTTTAAATAACTTTGATGACCTTAAGAACCAGTTAGCTTTCACAATCAACTGTTGGGGGTCAAACACTAATAACCTCATGAATAGCAAGTCACATATATTGACTGTGTGACATTGTTTCACTAACACTGTGCATTAGTACAAACAAGTAGTGACTCAGCTCACATAACTCCAGTAACTTTATCAGCGGATCTGCTTATATTATCACAAAGACTAAATTTCACATTGAAGTTATGTGCTGACCAGGGAGCTAGCGGCGGTCAAACCAAAACATGGCACCAGTCAATGAAATCCACAACAGTTGGTTTAAGCCAGCCAGTCAGTCACGTAGGAAGGTGTAGATTTCCTGACTGGTTGGGGTCCCCGGGACAGTAAAAACAAATGACGACTGGAGACAATCTGTGATATGGCTCAAACTCATCGTTCTCAATGGCTAGTTTCAATTCATGTATAATCCCCATCCAGGCATTAATGAAAACAAAACACGTAGATAAGCGAAGAGTCTCTTTTCGGCGAATTCATTTTCTTAGCTGTACAATCGCAAATATATATGTGTTATTTTGTATGTATGTGTACATTTTTATTTTGTTTGACAAACTTAATGTACACATACATACAAAATAACACATATATATTTGCGATTGTACAGCTAAGAAAATGAATTCGCCGAAGAGACTCTTCGCTGATCTACGTGTTTTGTTCTCAATGGCTAGCGCAGATGCATCCACTCCTTGTGACTTATAACTTCCAATGAAACTATATTGATCTTCGTTATTACTATTCCTGTCCACTGTCTTTATTTTGCATTTCTTCTACTTTCTTCTCTTGCTTTGTGTGCTTCAAGGAGGGAGTTTGGCGACTTGAACTGCTGCACATCTTTGCAAAGTTCTATTTTGAAAACAGACAGACAGACAGACAGCTAACCAGGGAGAGACGATTATCCGAGCATAACTGCAGAAGACAATCACCGCTGTAAGTTCGTCAGCAAGGGACCCTGTAGGTGCCATCAATATACTTCTGAGACTGGCAACACTTGCCCTACTTGAGCATTGAAGTCATCTGCTAAAATGACTGTATCTGAGTATTTCGCTTTTAGCAACAAACTACACCGCTTTTGATAGAACTTATGCTTGATTTCGTTCGAAATGCAGTTGCTTGCGAGAAAAGTGGAGATTGTGAATAGACATAGATGGGTATTGCAGTTTCCTACTTCTAATGAATCCGTTCAGACGGACACCTCACATACGACTATCCACTGGGATCTAGTCGAGCAGGAATTTTTCCACCCTAGATCTCGATGCTATCCTTACACCTGTAAGTCTTTGAGAACTAGCCGAAGAATCTTCTAAAACCCGTAAGGTGAATTGTACAAATTTACTGTTGGTCAGGGGGGGGAGATAGGTGAATAAACACAATTAAGTCTTGTACACGTGCCTCTGGAACACAGCATACATCCATGGTTCGAGATGTCTGTTGTCTGATTTGTCAAAGGGTTCTGACACTAAATGTTCTAGTATGAAGGTGGCAGCGTGCTTTTTAAGACTGTCAGTAGTGCTTCACCGCCTCTCATTGTTATTAGTAGTTGCAGAGTTAAGAGAATGCGAGTGACCTGCCTGTGGAACGGTATAAACAACAGTAGGAAGAAAACGGGATGGTGACGTAGATAAAGGTGTGTGAAGATCAAGAGAGATTCACGTACTTTCGGGTGTGCAAGCGGTTGTCACTTCCCGGCTGCTCACACCATGGAAGAATTGCTCACATGATAAGTTTATCACATGCAAGGGATGACAAGTACTTGAAAACTTCTCAACTCTGGTTTTAATAATCAAAAGGTAATTCAACAGGAAAGGAAATGGAACTGTGGGCAGTACTAAGTATTTCAAATAAACCTAACATGACTCCTTAAGACAGAGACATAGAGTGAATCACGCAATTTCATGTGGCTGAACGAAGCACCAACAATGACTAACTAATTCGATAAATTCATAAATTAATATGGTCATCAATCTTCAGAGAACTCCGTTATTCACACTGCTTGTATTCAGTAAAGTTATGTCATCAGCACTCCGAACCAAATCATCCAACTTCGGATGACACGAACTTCTGCATTTAGAAGATTGTGTACTGAATGAGTACCAGTTCAAGTTTTAGACCATATCACCCACAATTTGCAGCTAGGGGGTTTCTAGCCTATCGAGGACTCCAATAAGGCAGTCTATACCTTCATATATCACTCAAACTACCAGTCAAAGACATTATGGACTAACGCCGTATTTTGATTTAACCACTACCAACTCTCTAAGCCTATTTCAGCTAACACCGTTCGGCGAGGAAGACAATGACTTGGTATCCATGACAAATATTCTAGCCCTGTGAATCAATTTAGCTTCAAAAAGTGATCGATTGACTTTCCCTCCTTATCTATCACTCTACATCTAACCCCAATATTTCTCACCACTTAATACAGGAGATAGAGCACTGATAGCCAGCTAACTGATCTCCCACTTTTGACCGTCACACCTCACAACTATTAAAGACGAAGTAAACAGTGGTACAGTGCACACGTCTTTTGATCGATAGCCGGATGTTACTGGGGTTTTAGCCTTCAGAACCATGACTGAAACTATCAAGTACACATCCACAGCGTGTTCACTTGACAAAAAAAAATATTTAGAAGAGTCCTTTCAGACTAATCGTACAGGTTCAGAGGTGTTTAGCACATACCTATCACATACTAGTTTGGGAGTCAAAAGTAAAGTGCCATCTCAATCTTAGAAATCGAATCTCGCTTTCAGGTCAAGAAATGTAATTGGTATGAAGTACTGGGAAGTACACTCGCACTTCTAGAATTAGTAAACGCCAGGTATACGACTGACACAACAGTCAGGACCGGTCCCAATTATTCACAAAACATTATATCTATGTGGATTTTCATAGACTACTTAGGTCAAACCATCTTGTATGTATGACAAAAGAACTACAATCCTTTCTTGAAGACCTGAACAAACAGCAATCATGCTCAGTACTGTATAAAAGTTTGACTTATGAAGCACTCATTGTCACATAAAACTGAGCTAAGCTAAACTTTCAGCACCAGTAAGTACACGTGGACCTTGAGACGTTCAGTGAGCAAGTTAGTGAGACCTGCCAAATAATACTGTAATCATGAGAAAAAGTATGCTTAATGAAATGTTGTATAACTAAGTGGGATATCTGTGAAGTTTCAGGTTAGGTTTGGGAAAGATTAATGTTTAACCTAGGGACAGGTTAAAGTTAGGTTAATCTAATAAGAGCGGTATTAAGGGTGGTTCAAGTTAGATTACGGTTAGTTTAGGAATATTCCCACGTTAGGGTTAAGTTAGGGAAAGATTGGGGTTATTGTTACGATTAAGACTTAGAGAATTACATGCATGGGATGTAGTTAAATTACAATGTTAATACTCAAATCCAAAACTGAGAGATATTTTTGTCACATATCAGAGGAAGGTACCCTGTGTAACAATCGTATGCCCTTGAACTCATTATTTTCGTGAATATGTATTTTATACGCAAAAATCACCTTTGCCAGATGGTTGTTGAGTTCAGGGTCATTTGTCCATTGGTAATTACTGGTGCTCAGAGGTTAACTATGCCAAGCTGTGAGATGAGTTCTTAAACAAAATAAAAACCACTAATCTACTAACTACACACTTTAAAACATCATGATCGATGATAGATGAGGTTGACCAGTGTACTTAATGTACTTTCTACTGTAAAATGACAATCTGTTCTGAAACAAACACGTAAAACATCTGAAAAAATAAGTTTAAAAAAGAGAAATGATAGCTATAAGAACATAAATTCAAAACGCTCATAGCCACACAACCATTTTACTGCAACCGATAAACATTTAACGCTTATTGATGCATTCGACAATATTCTTTACACAATAACACTACAAATGTTATTATGCTAGTTATTTCGAATGAATGTATCGGTTGTGATGACAGAAGCTAGCTGATTGAATGCATGTATGTGAAAAAGTTACTCACACCTCGGCTTTTTGGTCGAGGGTACATTAGCAGACTTAACCATTCGGCAGTACTCAAGTTCAGTCCATACGCAAAGCTGAAGCAGTCACCACCAGTAACTTTACCGATGAACCTGAAGAACTACTACAAAGCAATAAATCACATCATCCATTATTAGTGCCAAATATACTGGTTTCCTAGTTCTGTCTAAATATTTCTACATACAATGCTTAATTTGGAAACTTTATTATAGTTTCAATGAGGAATACGGCTGTCCAATATGAATGGAAGTATAGTTTACCGGCGAATGCAACCGTCTCAGTTTCACTTAACTATTACTGGTTCGAAGTCACTTGATGGTGGCTGCAATATTGTAGACCCGACAGAAAGCAAGATAAGTCAATTATCAGAAACCACTCCTCTCTATGCACTGGAAAAACAAAAATACGAAACTGTGACAGCGATAAAATAGGTTTTCAGAGATGAGATTAAAACACTTAAATCCGATAGTGCTTCTACCGGATTTCAGAGCCTGACCACATGCATGTAAACCAACTAGTGAAACACAATAATTGTACATGAAAACTGCCATTTATCAGTGAAATCAAGAAGTTAGACAGCAGAAATGCAGTATTAACACAAAGGTAGTTTTACTCACTTTTTGAGGAAGGATTGAACACCTTTAGAGTTTTTCGCAGATGGAAAGTCACAATCAGTAACCAGGGCTGACACCACATCTAATAGGTTTTCCAAATAACAGTCCGATGATGGGTCAAGTAATTCCTTCTCGAGTTCGTTAAGGGGAAGGTTATCCGATGACGACATATCGTCGGAAAATCCAACACCTGAACCTTTCCAAAAATCAACGAGGTGGTCTACAATATACTCCGTATGACCTTAAGCAACGGTGTAAATAAACAAAACTGCATATAAAAAGAGAGACTACTGTCAATAATCGCGAAAATCTGTGCTAGTTATTTCTTAACATATGTGATGCAACTGACTTCTGATACTGAATGAGTGACTAGGAGGGCAAAATGTCTTGCATTTCTAGTTGCAGTTTTTCCGTCTACCACCTCTGAGCTTCGATGGCTGATCATTATGTTATACTTTGCCACTTAATATGTGTTTTCCTACCCTGTGCATATCACTATAACTTAGGGCCTACTGCTGCATAGACATACGGCGATGAGTGTTGACCTGCATATCCAGACCGCAAAGAAGGTACACTGCGGAAAAACTGATTTTAGAAAGATGGTATCTTCATTCGAACTCATGTTGTAGGAACTGATCTATAATGACTGAGACCCATAAGAAGCATGGGAAACAGCAGTGATCTTATATACAGTTACAGTACCACTAGTTAGCAAACTAAGGTGATTCAAATATTAGGTTAAACAACTTGTTCTTACTTTCGTATCACAGTTTTACTTGTTATCCCAGGCTTCATGAAACTGCCATTTCATATAAACGCATCACATTATTTTACAGATGGACGGATTGAAAATCATTTATGGTGTTTCTTTTATCACACAATAGTATCTGCACCGAAGATTGAAAATTCCTATATACCTTCTTGTGTAAGTTGGAAATTAAATAACCAGAATTTCTCTTGTTCGCAGGACTTGTAGAAGGTAATATAATTTCACAGGTTGGAGGTATTTATATCAGTAAGAAAATAAACCCTGTTTCATCTCAATATCGATTTGCACATCCAAATGTCAGCGAATTTACATTATTGTGATTATTCACGGTCTGCAGAACATCAGTTATGTTATATTGTATATGCTGCTAATTATCTGAGAACAACAGATTCTTCTTTCCTTTAATTCTTATTTCCTAAATATCCATTTACTTCCTTCACTGGATCACACCAAACCTTGTTGATTTCAGTCTGAAGCAGTAAAGTAAATCGAAACGCATTTATCGGCCCACTTCATTGTCAGCCGTAATGCCTCCATCGATCAGTTTCATTATTTGTGCCAGTGGTGAGCATCTGGGTATCTAGTTAGTTAGGCTGCTTGTGCAGATTCGAGCTGACTTCGAGATGTTTTCGACAGGTTATAACGCTCACGATTGATGTGTGGCTACCAATTCTACTGAATCTGAGCTCTAGCCACACTACCTGCTGGCTCTTTTTTTATTTTGATTTTTTGATTTACAGCTTGATTCCACACCGTATTTTCAGTACAAGTATGGAATTTTCAGCATGGATATCGGTAGCCCAAATTCAGGCCGACCATAGATATCGGGTGTGCGCCGGCAGGGGATCGAACCCCGGACCATGTGCATGGGCGGCGAGAGTCCTAACCACTGTGCCACCGACGCTGGCTCTTTAGCCTTCCCCACCTAACTGGGTGAACAAACTGCCCTTAACACCACCCAACTAGCGAAGGGAGAATGTAACTCTTACGGCAACTAAAAATTGTAATTATTTTTAGTGAGTCTACAAGTAGACAGGCACACCAGAGCAAAGCTTTCAAACTTTTGTCCCTTGAAAATTATACTTTTCATAGTGTTCCACTCCACACGGATAAAAAAAGTTGATTACTGAGACTGCAACGGCTGAGGTTCAATTGCGTTGGCGAATTTGCTTGATACCCTTCACGAAGACACTGTACACACAAAGAAAGTTTCGCATTTAATCAAGTAACCACATTACTAGCCTTTAACTTCGTGGTCGCCTAGAGCCTAAACTAAGAGCTAAAACTGTCTGGAAGAGATTGTGCACGGTTGACAAAGATGTGACTTCAAACAAATATTACATAAAGTTACACAATTTGAGACAAATTTATCCAGCTTGTATAAGAATCTGAAATAGTACATGATCGGCAGTGTTATTTTTAAACAGTGCACTCTTAGATTTGATTTTGATTTAGATTACAGCTTGATTCCACACCGTTTTTTGGTACAAGCATGGAATTTTCAGCATGTGATATAGCTAGCCAAAATTTTGCAGGCCAACCGTTGATATCAGGTGTACGTCGGCAGGGGATCGAACCTCGGACCATGTGCACGGTCGGTGATAATCCTAACCACTGTGCCACCGACGCACAGCAATATATATTGAATGCTGTGATTAGGTTTCTTAAGATCGGAACCCTCAAAGTTTCGAACGACAGCTATGTTTACTCTGAAAGGAATTCTTGCGCTCATGTGCATCAACCATTGAGCCTCTGGATTTAATGTTTAGCTTCTTGTTATTCACTTTCACAGATAGACTGTTACACAGTTGCACATCCTCAATTACTGATGATATACTTTGTAACCGTTTTTATTTTCACACTGACCGGGCAGTTTTGTCATTTATCTCTGATGCTCATGTGGATCATTTGTTTTTAACCTATGTTATAATCTTTAGTCATTTTAATATGATTGACTGCAAAATTGAGGGTGTATGGTGTAAATTGCTGACTGATTTTCGATACAAAGGGTTTAACATAGTACTCAAGGTTTTCCGTTTCAGATTTCCACTTGGAACATGTCGTTCATTCAGTCATGGCTGTCACTGCGGATCTGCTAATACCTTTCCTAGTTACAGATTGTGTATTCGTTCTCAGCATCTAGAATAATGTGGCCGACTACTGAAAAACGCCTGCATGAAGTGATTTGTGCTTTCCATCATTCTTGTAATGTGGGGTCAAGGAAACCTTCAGACTGCAGCTTTTACTGAGGGAATAAACTGTAGTGCACATTCTGACGTTCAAGACTTGTTTTTACGTTTACACATGGAAACTGGCGCCATCACCAGTTTTGCGCCCTCTGCCTATGTGATGGACAGCTAAATTCTTTGAATCGGTTGTACAACCTTTCAAAATAGATATGTTGTTGCACCATTTTTCCAGAATTAACTTGACTCCTTATTATATCCAAATACATCGCTCAGAAGAGCACATTACTACGCATCAGAGTCTTTTTAATATGAGTCTTGTCATCACTACTTTCAAGATAGGTAGAGGGTATATGGACGTAATTTTCTACATGTACTTCTACATGTCTGACCTTATTTCTCCCACCTCACTTATTGACTTATAAACCTAATTTTCCCTCAACCCACTTGTAACTTTTGGGATCCTATCGTTTGGTGACTATTTTAATTTATCAGCTTATTTAGTGCCTCTCAGGGTCATTTAAAGCACATGTATTCACAAGCGCTGTCAATCATCTTCACTGTTGATACTGGACGGTAAAAGCTCTCCATGTCAACAGTCGGCCTTCTCTTCTTGTTCTCTTATGCTGCGTTTTCGATGGTACTGCATCTTGTTGTTGCATATGGTGGTTAGAACAGCAAGCTGGCAAATCGACTAGATTCGTTAGCGCACTACCAAGTTTATTAGCGGCCATATCGAAATTAATAATAATATATATTTATTCCTGTTTATGCAGGAACATACCAATTGTACAGGCATGGATAAGTTATTATTATGTAAATTACAGTTTGTTTGTTCAATCTAACATTAGAGTCAGTCAGAACAGTCTGCAAAATAGTCTGTGTAACACATAAAGAGATATAGAAATATTGTCTTCGCATTAACAAAAAACCCAGACTTCAGATGAACGTGATACAAATATCTGGGAAAAATAAAGCTTGAAGTCAATTCTCCTATATAACGTTGGTGTGAACAGTATCCTTGACTTTAAGGTTATTGATGTATTATTTTGATTCAATAATGTATTTATTCCATTTTTGTCAGCAGTCTTATCGCAGTTTTATAATAGGAAAGAAGGTAGATCTTTGATACGAAAATTAGATAAGGTAATGTTAGATTGTTTTACTGCATCAAATGAGGTCAATTCTAGAACTATCCATTTGCGCCATTTGCGTCAGCATGGCAGACTGTACATGTAAGTTGAGTGATACATTGATAACTGTTTGAAAACCAGTTGCTTCTTTATTTCAGATCAAGAATACTCCTTGTACAGAATGTTAGCCAGCGTTTTCAAGTGGTTGCATCGGATCGTTCATGGAATTTGAGTTCGAATTTACATAAATGGTCATTTCAGTTTGGATGTTGGGTTGTTCGACCTCAACCAGGAGGTATATAGAAGATTAAGCTCAGCAGGGAGATAAAGTATGTAAAAATGAAGAAAACATTAATATTTTATGTACATATAAATGTTTATAAATGTATATCATTGTATAGTAAACACTACCCATAATCTAGTTGTTCTTTCATGTAATTTTGCGAAGTCTTAGAGTTTATTTGGTGTCGTAATATTTAGTAATGAGTCTAGGCGTTATAGTGTGCTAATAGCTCATGCGTTTTGGAAATAAGTGGTGCGGTGTGATTGGCATAGTCATTGGGATGAAGCAGTTTATATAGCAAGCGTTTGAAGGTTATAATAGAGTGACAGGTCCTTATTTCTAGGGGTAAACTGTTCCAGATCTTAGAGTACATGACTATGAAGAAGTTTGCACGGAGTGCTGTTTTACAGTTTTTCCTAGATACTGTGCACGTTTGGTTACGAAGGTTGTAAGAGCCTTCCGGTGAGAACTGTATCTCCTTGCTGTCTGAGAATGATATTTTATGCAAGACTTTAAAGAAGAATGTTAGGTTAATGCTCAGTCGTCCCATCCAGAGTGGGTCGATACCTAGAGTTATACACCTTGATGTGTAGTCCTTTTCGCAGTCAAATCCTAGTAGTTTAGACGTGAAGTGTCGTTGGACACTTTCTATTTTAAGTTTGTCACTTACGCGAGTGCTGCTGAGAATAAATGGACAATATTCAAGTAGTGGTCTGACACAAGTTTTATATAATAATAGCTTCGCCTCGTAGTTGTGGAAATTCCTGAGTATGCATCCTAGGAGCATCCTCGATTTACG